ATTATAAATGCTTTAAAATGTCAATTCCATTAAAATAGCTTTTTACAGGGTGAAATTTAATAGATTTTTTGATCTCTAAAACAATCTTCCCAGAGATAGCTATTTTGATTCCTATAATATAGTACAGAAGGCACTTAAATCTGTTTCTTTGAGTAATGCAGAATCTCTAGGAATTGTCTTGGCACTAAACTCAGTATGACTGGCCCCAGCTTTTTCCATTTCAGTCACAACAAGATTTGTTATATGCAAGATTCTCATTAGTAGAACGTTCATCTGGTCATGTTACACTTTCACATATTAAGTTTGACATTTCTGATTCTTGGGATTCCCCGTTAAAGGCTACAAGAAAAATGTCTTAGAAGCAAGCAGCAAATCAAAATGTTTATCCATTGTCAGAATTAGGTGTTACCACTTGCATCATTAGTATTTATTCCCAGTTAACGTACTTTGCTAAACATAATTTTGAGTACACATCAGTAATTTACCATATGGTTCCAGTTACCAAAAAACCAAAGCAGTAAAAGCCCAGGAAATACTGTGTTAAGAATAAACTTAAAAGGAATCCAAACATCAAGGCACCCAAACAGCCTTAACTCTGTCCCTGTAGTGATGTGCTGGAGGGGAAGAAGCAATCTTTGACTCTATCTTCTCTAACTGGTGGTAAAAACTGGTAGTTTTTACCACCAGTTAGACTAGGTGAGGTCAACGCTATCCTCCACTTCACAGCCCTGTGACTGACCTCACCTAGTTTACCTTATGGTATTTTGTCTTCACTATGTATTTACTGCAGACCCTTGGAGGCACAACACGGGAAGTTTTCAACACAAGGTAAACTAGGTGAGGTCAGTCACAGGGCGGTGGGGGAGGAGAGCGATGACCTTAGTTTGCCTCATTGTAAACACTGTAAGTGCCTTGTCTCCACTTAAGGTTTGACAATGCGATAACTATCACCTCTTAGTTAACTCGCTGCCAATAAACAACAAAAACAACCACAACTTTGTGTCAGCAAAGACAAAGCCTTATGACAGGTCTATACTACCACTTAAGTTGATCTAACTTGAGTCACTCAGGGCTATGAAATAGACCCCCCTCTGAGCAACGGACGTTAAAGCGACCTAAGTGCTGTCCACACTGGCGCTATGACACTCTCCCACCGACATTGCTTCCACCTCTCGCGGAGGTAGAGTTATTATGCCGACGGGAGAGCGCTCTCCCATCGGCATAGAGCGTCTTCATCGGACAGTGGCGCAGCTGCTTTGATGTAGTGCTTCTAGTGTGGACCTGCCCTAAAATAACCTTCATGCATCTCCAGCAGTTCCATCTCATTAATGTCTATAAACGCTAGCAGGATTTACTCTTAATCACGCAATGGCTATGTGTAAATTTCAGCCTTTGTGTAGCTACATGCGATCCCCAGAAAAAGATGTACTCTTGGCTCTCTGCTGTTTCAGACATTATTCAGCACTAACTCAGATTTGATTCCACACTGGGCAGGTGGAAAGCAGTGCATTTTTATACACAGTGCTGGGTTGCAGAGCAGCTTGGAAGGCACAGAGCTCATGCAATCGAGTGCTCCTCCTTTGGCGGTATGGTTGTGCATTCAGGATTTCCAGAAAAAGAGATATTATGCTACACATATTTGTATTTATGATTTTCACTGATGTTTTTCATGGTCCGTTTATACTTCCTCCTGAAATGAAAATACAGTGAGATCATGAAAACTCTTGTTACTTAGAGCATGTAAATGGAACCCTGCAGCACTATAAAAACTCATGAAAATCCTACCCAGAAATACACATACTAGTACTTGTGTGCACTCCCTTATTTGATGGATCAGAGCTCCTTGCGCTAGTTCAGTTTGTCTACAAACTCACATAAGTGTCTTCCTATTACAGAATATCTTCTCTATGTTGCCTCAAATAGAGAACTGGGCTTAGCCACCTGTCTTATAAAAGCTTTCCTGAAAAATGTACTAACCTGGATTAACTACCATAGAAACTTGTCCTTATTCATTGGTGGCCTCGTTGCCTCCTTGATCGTTCATTGTTTTGAAGGGATCTATGTAGTTCAATGTCTGTCCGTGGAAACTACATCCTGGAGATGTACTCATTTCTCTGCTACTTTTAGAAAAGTTTGCACAGGGTATGCCTTCTCACCTCCTCAGCAGTGTTTCTGAAGTGGCATATGTGGTTAAATGGGCTAGGAACAGTGACTGACTGGATCTGGGCAGAGGTTGAAAAATAGAGGAACTGCATAATTCTGAAAGGCATGTTCAGAATCCATAACAAAGGGGAATATCCTTTAAAAATTCTATTTCCTGCATCATACTTGAGCTATGAAGTTGCAGTACCAAGAAAGACCCTATAACCCTATGTGACATCCATAAAATGTCTCTGTCTCTTTGAAGCTTTCTTAAGGAACAAGGATGTAGTATACTAAGTGCTCTATTAATAGCTGTAAGTAAAACATATTGAACACCAGAACATTTCTAGTTGTACATTTAGGACATAAATATGTATTTACACACTAGGTATACTTAGAGATATATACAAGGCCTGTCAGACCTATTACTATTGCCTTGGATTGGTCATTTAGCAAATTATTGTACCCGTGAATGGTTTATGTCATAAAGATAATGAACATGAAGTAACACTATATATATTTTTTATAGGTAAACCCAACTAATCATAGACTCCTGTTCGAAGTGTTTGATGAAAACAGATTGGTGAGTGTTCTACTGTATTCCCCTTTGTGTGTGTTTTATTAATCACACCGCTGAATATGGAAGTAACATAGCTCCTGAATTTTAGTTCCTGGAAATTTGGCATACCTGAAATTAAAGTTTATTTTGTTTCAGTGGTGTAAATATGTACACTAAGGAAAGTCAAGTGAGGTATATAAAGGAGGAAATTTGGCTATTTTATTGGCTGAACATTCATAACACTCATCTTGAGCCAAAGTTATCTTATGCAGTGGAGACATTTAGGGAAGGCATAATGCAATTACTTACTTTTATAAATCTTCTTTGCCATTTTTGATAAGATTAAATAGGTGTCTAAGCAAAAATCTCTAAGGTCTGATTTTGGATATAGTTGATGTAAGACATCAATATAATCACAATTTATAAATGTACTTTGAGGAAATTTTAAAAAGCAGTATTATTGGAATAGCATACGGTCTGACCCACTAACAGTATATTTATGAACACTTTTATAATAGAGGATGTGGCGCTATAGCACAAAATATTCGGTTCCTTCAGATTAGTTAAGTACAGTACGTCTCTACCAAATTTGCTTACTATATATTGGGGGTAAATTTGCCAGATATATTTTGGGTAGTTTGAATATCCTTTTGTTAATTTAAAAAAAAACTCTCATTAAGAGAGAGGTTTTTTTTTTTCTTTCAGCTCTATCAAAGCAAATGTTAACATAATGCAAGGAAAAAGATATAAACTCTGTGTAGGTAACCTTTTTCAGGGGGAAAAAATCTAGAGGGCCACTCATTTAATGTTGTGAGGAAGTACAATAACAAATCCGTGGCAGGGTGGCAACATATATGGAGACTCTCTGTGGTGATCAGTGTACTGAGAGACATTTAATCTGTTTCACAAACCCAGGCCTCTACTATTTGAACTAGCGGAGAATCTTGATTAACTTTTGCTAGTTTTAGCTTATTATCCTCTTTGCCGGCCAGCCGGCAGAGTGGAATAATATCAGAAAACTTGAACGAGTTTTATGTGAACCAGCAGAGGGTAGTGATGTGCACAGTCAAACCAATATGTGACAGTATAGTGGTGGTCGTTAAAAAGACATTTTTTAACCATTACCACACAGGGACATCTGAGAGGTGGCAATTTCCCTTCTCTCATACTAGTGTGTGGTAACTTTGCACCCTTTTATTTTGAGCCAATATTTGTATTAAAAAAGAGCACTTATGGTTAAATATATATTAGGATTCCAGGTTATGTGCCTACATTGAGGGAGTATTGAATTGATTACTCTAAGATTAATTTCTGTAGCTTGAGCATATTTTTAGGATCTAAAACAGTTTACTATGTTTGTCTGTTTTCTGTTACAATTTATGCTGGGAATAAATACCTACTTGTAAAGCTTACATTTGTAAGATTTGCCCCAAAAATAATTTTCTTGCTTGTTCATCTCGTTCCTAAACCAGTTGTTCGAGATTGCAGTAGGTTCCCCCCAATCCTTGCCACAACAGAGACCGTGGATGCAAATTTAGTCTTAGAAGAAAAGAGAGACTTACTTACTTAAATAGCACAGAAACATGCTGTTGTCTGAAAAGTGAATTAAAATAATTCTAACACCTGTGCTTGCACAAGGCAATCTACAGTGCTGTTACTGTGTAGCAAATACCCATGTTTTTCTCATTGTTGGCTCATAGTCCGGTTAAAACAATAGAGGATTGTACTGGCCCTTGGCAGTTTTATCGTTTAAACCAGCTTCAATTTCTCTTATACTTGGTTGTTTTCTGCATTTGAAAACAAGCTGTTGTAAAACAGTGGTTTAAATGTCTAGATGTAGTATTGACCCTACACCTACAAGTCAGTGTAGAGCTGTTGAAAAAACTAATTCTTTGGAGCTTTCATAGGACCCAAGTTGCCACTCGTTGAATTGAATTAGTTTGTCTCTCTTTTGTAGAGAAACTTTTTGTTTAAACGGATGTTGTTTCTGATTCGTGCAAAAATGTTCTAAAACTTCAGTGCACCTCAGCTGTGACAGACCCTTTTTAAACACTGAGATTCTGCAATGTGGCAGGGCTGAATTGGGATGTTTACTTTAATTTTTGGTTGTATCCCATATGTTCTTCTTTTGAAATCTTTTGGCTTTCAGCAAGCATAGCTATACTCCATGCTGGCAATCGGACGGGAATATTGCTAACTTTCTCATTGGAAGGCTGCCAGCGTTGGGCAGCGTTTCTGTACGGCGCTTAAGTCAAATCATTACAAAACTACATGCATACCCTTCTTCAGTTTTCGCTCGTCTTTGCTGCCTGGTAAAACTGAAAAAGAGACTGTCTCCTGCCATCTTGTTCATTTCTGCTGCTATCCTTGTCTGAGAAGTCTTTGTCATATGTAAGGTTTCTTTGTTGCAATTTCTAAGGGAAGAAAAGGATCTGTATGTAGGATGAGTAGGTTATGCTGTGTTTACCGTGGTAATGTGAAACTTGTGGGTTTTTTCCAGAGTGAATAGTTGGTTACTTAATCTTTTAAAGAACCAGTGAAAAAATTCTAGAGTATAACCATGGACTAATATTTATTTATGTTCTACCATGGTAGTCTAATGCTGTAGCATTAGGGGGTTGACAGATGAAGTCTGAATTTGTCTACTTGAACCAGTTTTGTTCTTCTCAATCTGCATTGTGAAGTCCACTTGAACTTTTAACACTTAAAGTGCTTTTGTGGCAGTTAACATTTTTGTACAAAAGTGCTCTGTGAATGTGATGTGGCTTAGATTTATAGCAGTGCCGAGTGTGCTTGCTGCCTTAGTCAGCTGTGAGACCTCTCCCGCGGGGGCAGCTCTTTTCTGATGGAAAAGGAGCAGCTGTGAAGGTGCTGTTTCAGGCTCTTGCTGGTAATTAAAAAAAAAAAAAAACCACTCACAACTAACTTGCAGTGGAGAGGGGGAACCAGATCATGTGACTCCAACCATCCTACCCTATGTCACAGTGTGTAGGAGCGCTGATTGCTCTTATCCAATCATGCCTGGAATGCTGCTTGCCACTTGGGCTATTTCTGCTATCTGTCGCTATCAGTGCTGCAGTGCTAACAGTTTGGCAGATGGGACACTTTTTCTTGGAGTTTGTCTTTGTTTTTTAACTTCTGGCAGTGCCTGAATTGTTGCTGTTCTCCCTCTCTCCCTTTCTTCTCTTTGTTAAACCATGGCCCATCGGCTGCGGTTTCATTTTGGCTCTGGACGAAGCAACACGGCCCCTGAATCTGAGATCCTAGACCGAGAGAGAGAAGATGACTTTTTCATGGCATTCCACACTTTGCCAAGAAGAAACAGTCCTCATCCTTTCTCCCGACATGGAGCGGATTATGGTGGCGGTGATTTGCAAGAAGTGGGCTCCTTAAAAAGAAGCACATCGATGTTTATTCCTCAGCTGCTGAACAATATTGAGGTGCGTCCAACAAGGAGCTCATCTATGCAGATTTCTCTTCAGCGCAAAGCTGTGAACGGCTGTGCTGATGAGTGTGGAGCCCCAGAGTCTCCTGAGGAGACTCTTCCATGTAAATTCTCAGACTTCAGGGAGCATTACACGTGCCCAGTTGACAGTCATTCTTTTTCTCCAAGCAGTCCACAAGTAACCCCAGAGAATTCTCCACCGAGGATGCCTGAAGAGACTGGGCAACGGCTTAATGGAGCTGTTTCTTGTAATCACAGAATATTTTGTACAATTCCTTCCAATAACCAGAATGATGATGTTGCAACGACTGCCGAAGAAGATGAAGCAAGTGAAGCGGCTTCAGGGTTAAACATAAGTGGTGTAAGAATTCAGCATCGCGCTTCAAGCGCAGATATGCATCAGGTTATGCTATCGCCCTTTGGTTCCGAGGTTCAGGATAACGCCCCTGCCTCTGAACCCAGACGCTGGTCTTTGCAGCATCTGCCAGACACGTCAGCAAATTCAGGGAAAAAGTTGTTTGTTTTCCAGTTGCAGCAATCACAGGCAAGTGGTCCAGGTACAGGAAGCGACTATAATTTTGGTTTTACTGGCACAAAAGGGAATAGATTGGTCAGGTATCCTCGCATACGGCTGGAGAGGAGTACTTCCTACCCGGTCCAGCCGCGACCAGAACGAATTAGCCTTGTAGAAGGCGGAGGGAATTCAGAACTGCATGGAAATAGCAGAAATGGGTCAGAAATATCTAGAAGCAATTCGGTAGAGAGGATTCCTCAAGGGCAGGGATGCTTGTTTAAAATCAGACCAGATCAAAACACAAGGCAGCAACACTTCAGAATTCTTGTAACCCGTGGTACTGAAGAACAAAATCAAGTTCCTGATGAAGACATCCCTGATACCTCTGGGCCTACAGTGACCAGTGCCACAGTAAGTAACATGCTGAAAATGCTTCCCCTTGTGTTCCAGCAAAATGTAAATGGTAACATAGAAAAGCTTCTGAATTCTAGGTAACTAAAGAATTTCACTCATTAATACTGGTAAGATCTACATTTCTCTGGAACAATCTGTAAAGCATCCCTAACTCGAACCTAAAATAGTTTTGCTTCCAGTGATGATTACATCCAGTGCAATGTTTTGTTGGAGTCCTAATGTCTCACATGTTGCTTAACACCGTGTTACGTCAGCTGAAGAGTTTTAACAAATTGGAAAGCCCAAGTGTTACTATTTGCTCTTATTTCTTCATGAGTTTGCTAAGTCCTTGCTGTACAAAGAATTACATTTTTGAAACAAATGCTTTAATGCTTTCCATATTATTTTAAAATATATGTATAAATGAAATGTAAATATACTAGCAGTTCAGGACATTGTGGGGGACAGAAATCGGTAAAGAAACCAATTTTGTTTTCTCAGTACCAAGCTATGAGAATTGTTTTATTTCAAAGAATACTTTTGCTCTTGACCTTCTTTAAAATAAAAACTTTTCATGTTGTCGTTTCAGTCTCATATGAAATATGATCAAACTACTGTAAATGCAATTTAGGCATAATTTGCAATATCTTATAATATAGCTTTGGTATGAAAGATGATATAAAATCTTCTTATACTGCCTACTTCTCACGTAATATGAGAGAGAGAGATGAAGTTCTATAATATTTTTTGAAACATACTTTATAGGCCCATGCGTGGGTAAAACTTACGGGGGCATGGATTGTCATTTGCTTGAATTGCTTTGCCGTGCAATTTAACACTGCCCACTTGAGTTTCTAAGCTCAATGATGCTGTATATAGAATAGTAAGTACCCTATCTCCAGCTGTGAAAACAGACTCACAAGATCAGCTTTTGGTCTTTATTGCTTGTGTGTGTTCTCATTCTCTCGTGGTCTCTTTCAGTGAAATGTAGTATAGAAAGACAGCTGCTAAATACAGTAAGACCATATGATGACTCTGCAGCTTTTATAGCAAAAACTAACTGTGAAAGTTATTCCAAGATAACTTTCTTTTTAGCACGTCAGTATACGTTTTTAAACACATGGACATGAATAACTAGCCCTCACAGCCTCTGTGGGGAAAATTCTTCTCTTCTGCTATATACCATATCACACCCTTTCTGTATAAATTGCTAAATGTGTTTGCTGTCAGCCTCTGAATATTTTACATTCAGAGTATTCCTGCTGAAAACACCTCCAGTTCTTTTGTTTGGATTTCACTATCACACTCAACAATATGTTAAAAGATTTGTTCTTTCATTTAAAATATCTTTTTTTGAGAAGTTTTTATCTTGTTTACATTAGAGTTAGGCCTTGAAGTGTAAACTTCTTATCTGGACACAGATTTTCCTGAAGACTTGAGGACAGGGCCGGCTCCAGGCACCAGCTTAACAAGCAGGTGCTTGGGGTGGCCAAGGGAGAGGGGCGGCACCTGCGGCAATTCGGGGGGCGGCAGGTCCCTCACTCCCTCTAGGAGCGAAGGACCTGCTGCCGAACTGCCGCCGCCGATCGCGGTCTTTTTTTTTTTTTTTTTTTTGCTTGGGGTGGCAGAAATGCTGGATCCTGCTTGAGGATGTCTGAATCCTGGATTTTGGGAGAAAAAGAGCCACTGTGAAGTTTTACTCCAGGCCTGTCTCTTCTCTTCTACAAGTACAGTTGATATTCTTTAGACACCCTCACCCAACATCCAGTGGATTGCACACAGCTCTTCATCTTAAACCATTACTCCACATCACCCAAGTCCTATGTCTAAACTGCCCTTTTCCACTCATTATCCCTGGTTCATTTCCAGCACTGTAAATATTATATAAATGTTTCCATAAATCAGACAGTGGAAGAAGATTTGGACACAATCAGATTTGTGTAATTTCCCAAAAGGTTGTTCATCCCCACTTCATTGTCCCTGCAACAGTGCCCATCTCTGTTTAACTGGAGAAAAGAATCCCTGATATCTCTCCTGAACTTGGCCTCCATTAAACAGTAAATTTATGTTTTGGGGTATAAATTTATAGATTTTCTAAACCAGTTATGCTGCTTGCTACTGAGTGAACCCTTGGCAATCCGTTTTAGCCCCACATAAAGTTACTCAGTGAGTTGTGTACCTTGGCAGTTGCAGAGGCACTCAATCTAAACAGGGTTTAAAATCTTTACTGCAAATAGGTTTCTTTAATTAAGACTTTTTTAAAGATATATTCTACTTTCTTCACATTATTTCTAGTGAGCCCAGAAATGTTCTGGGTGGAGGCAGCTTACTAGGCACATTTACTAAGTGGAGGAAAGCTGGACAATGAAAACAACTTAAGGATGAAAGATTTTCTTTATTTAGTCTACACACACAATGTTTTTCAGTGGGGTGTCATTTTTAATTCATTCCTTACAAGTTTGTTTTGATGGTCCCATGATGATGATAAATTGTGTGCAGAAATGATTGTTTCATTAAACTGGGGAGAAAAGTTTTTCCAGTTAAAGCTCTTAGGGTAAAATAATTTCTAGACTCTTCCAGTTAAGCTAGTTTGTGTGTATTTGATTGATATAGGGCATGGGCCCTGGACTGTAGACAGCAGCTGCTATAGCCTTATTTATCTTGAGTGAAAACATTCATGCGGGCGTCTGCAGTCCTACTGCTACTAAGTGTTTATGATCTTTCAAATATCTTCTGTTTTAATCAGAAGTGTTTTTGGGCAGGCAGGATATATTTTGTTGAGTTATCATGAAATATTAGGTAAAATAAGAACATATGACCAACTTGAAAAAATTTATTGGAAATCTCGGTAGATTCTTTGAGTTACTCTGATATTTTATATGCAGTGTGAAAGTTTTCATGCTGTGTATGTCTGCATATTAAAAACAATAGTTATTCTGTCTATTGATCGTGTTTATATTATTGGGTTTTTGTGTATGTATGCTAGAAATACTGTGATAACTGAACATAAAAAATCCCATGTGAGGGGTAGCTGGTGTTGGAGAATATCTGAGTATTCCAGTGGGCATTTGTTATTGTTACTTTGCATTTTTGTTTTTATCTTGACAAATAAAATATTGCAGTATTGTATTATAATTACTGAGAAGGAAGACCTAACACCTCCAGAGTTTTGGAATGCAGTCCTGCAGTTGTTACAACTGAACTTTCATTCTTTTTCTTCCTTCCTCAGGAATATCTATCTAACCAGATCCAACTATTACAGTAATCACTAAGTCCCACTGAAAATTGTCTAAATTTTGCTGTAGGAAAATTATGAGCTTGGAACTACTCTTTAGGTGGCTTTTTTAAATGGATTTATTTGGGCCTACCTGCTTTTACAAATCTAAATTTCTACAAGTTTCTGATATAAGCAGATAAAGATTCTGGTTGTGTTTATACACCTATATCTGTACTATACAAGCAAAGGTATGTTGCCACATACTTACCTGGTGCTATCCTGTTCCCATTGAAATCAGTGGCAAAAACCACATTAACTTCAGAGAAAACAGGATTGAGCTGAAAATAATATGTGCAAATATACAAACTCGCTTCCTCCTTGATGGCTTTCTTGGTGGTATATATGAAAAAATAAAACATTGTAAATAGATATTTTAAGAGAGAGCTGGACTATACTTCTACTATATGTGGTTGACACTTGACTGTAATTTCTGTATATAGGATTTCCTAATTACTATTTAAAAATTATATTTTTAAAAGAATACCTATTTCCAATATACTAATTAGCCATTAATGGAAACACAAGAAATACTAGAAATGAATTGATCACATTATCTAGTTCATTGTAAAAATATCTGCTCTTTTCAGATAACTGCATCAGAATATTCTCTTATGGTATGTCTACACTGTAATCTTAGCCTGTGCCTCCACATGTGTTTTTGCCCAAACCCCACTACCATCCACATGCACAACCCTCAATCAAGGGTTTATTTGCACTTTGAACCTGTGCTTGCTTGCACAGAATTAAAGCCTGAGCTGTGCTTTATACCTGGCTGGAACCCCTTTGCTGTGAGTGTGCAGACAAATACTAAATCATTCAAATACTAATAGTCTTCCATTTCCTTCCTGCTATTCAGATTCTCCCACAATTGATAGAAATGACTGGGAAAGAATGCTAGAGCATCTCAGCACACACAATCACAGGATATTCCCCCAGACACACACAGACAAATGCAGAAAAGGGAGGACACAGTAGCACGGGTAGGGCTTTGCTGTGTCAATGCTCACACTTGGGCTAGGCTAACCTGAGTGCTCAGACCTGGTTGCCAATTACCTGCGCTAACTGTGCAGTGTCCCTACCCTAATGCCTCTGCCCGTCTCTGTTGTTTGTTTTCAGAAGATGGGAACATAGACAACTAATGCTCAATCTGCAAACTCCCTCTTGTAACAGATTCTTGCTCCTATTTAGTTTATTTGTATCTGTTTTATACTTGGAGTATATTGAGCTGCACTCTCCAAGGCCTCCTACCCACTTAAAATATTCAAACATAAGCATTTTAAATGTTCTTCATTGGAGCCAAGTAACTGTAAATACCCAGAAAGATAGTGGAACAAATTATGAATCAGGATGGTTTTTTTTGTTTTTTGAATGGAGATATCCTATCTCCTAGAACTGGAAGGGACCTTGAAAGGTCATTGAGTCCAGCCCCTTGCCTTCACTAGCAGGACCAAGATCCCTATGTGGCCCCCTCAAGGGCTGAACTCACAACCCTGGGTTTAGCAGGCCAATGCTCAAACCACTGAGCTATCCACCCCGTTCAAACCTGGAGCATAATAAGATGACAAGTAATAGCCAACATGGATTTGTGGAGAACAAATTGTGCCAAAACAATCCTCCTTTGACAGAATAACCAGATTAGTGGGGTTGGGGTGGGCATAGGGGAGAAGTAGACATGTTATGTCTGGACTTTAGTAAGGTGTTTGGTACAGTCCCACATGGCATACTCATAAGCAAATTAGGG